CCCCAGCTTACTGCAACTTCAACCTCCTGGGCTCAGGCAATCCTCCCACCTCAGACTGCCAAATAGCTGGGACTACAGACATACACCACCATGCCAGGATAATTTTTTTATTTTTTGTAGAAATGACATTTCACTACGTTGCCCAGGCTGGTCTCAAACCCCTGGGCTCAAGTAATCCTCCCGCCTTAGCCTCCCAAAGTGCTAGAATTACAGGCATGAACCACTGTGCCTGGCCTGATGTTTTGATGTATGTGTACATTGTGGAATGATTAAACCAAACTGGATTCTCACTGATTATTAATACCACTCTGTATGATCTCACATTGCACAAAGTGAGGACTGTCTGCATTTGTAGATTCCAATTGATAAAAGATCTAACTAAATTCTAAAAGCTTTTGACTATTTGACTGTCTGTTCTATTACAAGCCAGTGTTTCTTATGTATTTCAAATCCCAATGGATGTTTTGAATTGGTCCTATTGGTATTTTGCCAGGTTGGGTAGATTATGCCCCCTCGTCAACTCCGGCACCCGGCAACACAGATCCTGTGCTCATCATCCTTGGTTGCATTTGTGGATTTGTTTTGATGGGGTTGGTTTTATATATTTCGATGGCCATCAGAAAAAGACTCCAGGAGACAAAGTTTGGGTAAGTTTCCTAGTTTGCCAGTGGTATTGAGGAGGCTATTACGCCAAGTGGTAATGCCTGTCCTCTTAGCCCTCCTCCTCACGTTGTGCCCAGATGGGTGCCCTGCCTCATGCATGCCCTGGACTTGGGCAGCTTCCTGACTTAAACCAGTGCCTGCAAAGGCAGATGACAGCCAAAGCCGGCCCTCAGAAAGGGTTCTTTTACAGAGAAGAGCATTGAGGCCTTTACTACTCAGTCTGGGTTGCTGTTAAATGAGAACTTTTATAGAAGCCTTAAAAATGACTCTGGTTATTTTTTGAATTGTATATATAGATAAGAATACAGGGAGGAAGTTCACCAGAGCATTGGCAACAAAGACTGGTATCACTGCAGATGAGTGTGTGTTTTCTTTTTTTGCTATATTCTGTACATTTTTCTATAATGACCTATTATTTTTCTAATAGAACAAAACTTTATATTTTAACATTCAAGGCCGGGCACAGAGGCTCACGCCTATAATCCCAGCACTTTGGGAAGCCAAGGTGAGAGGATTGCCTGAGCCCACGGGTTCGAGACCAGCCTAAATAACTTGGTGAGACCTCATCTCTACAATAAATCAAAAAGTTAGCCGGCAGGCCTATAGTTCCAGATAATTGGAAGACTGATGTGGAAGGCTCGCCTGAGCCCAGCAGGTCGAGGCTGCAGTGGCCGTGAGCATTCCACTACACTCCAGCCTGGGTAACAGTATGAGACTCCAAATCAAAAAGAAAAAAAATTCAAATTGGAAAACTCTTTTTCTCATTTTCTGTACATCTTTTATAACAAAATACTAGGTTAATATCAACAAAAAGGAGAATTTGTGTTAAAGCCACGTATGAAAAGAAGGCTTGTGTGTAAATGTTGTTTCTGGAACTCAGTTTTCTGCTCCAGGGCTCTATGGCGAATTTGGATTTCCATGAAATCCAGTGTATTCATTACAGATCAGGAGGAAGTATTTTGTATGAGACAGGTTGTTGATGGCTTGGAATGGGACAAGGTGAGGCAGGGGTGCCTAACTGTGTTTGCAGGAGGCTGAGCAGCGCTTTTTCGTTACTCCACTGGCAGAATGCTCTTAGAGCATTCCATTCACTCTAAGACTTCCCATGTGTATAGCACGGGGCTTAGGAAGGGAAGTCAGGCTGCACACCTGACTTTATTAGTACACACTGCAGTCTTAGGGGTTGGTTACCTTCAGTCCTTAAAACTCTCTCCTTGTAATTCTTTACAAGGACACTGTTTTAAGATAGACAAAGTATGATCTAAATTTTTTTTTAGATACTCTGTCACCTGCAGTGGCACAATCATAGCTCACTATAACCTTGAACTTTGTATAAGCACCTTTCAGTTCATTTTTTAAAATGAAAATACCTTTATTTTCTACGTATAAAAGGAGCTAAAATTCTTATAGTTTTTTTAAAAAATCAGGTTATACAGAGGTGAGACCTCATCTCTACAATAAATCAAAAAAATCAGCCGGGCGTGTAATTCCAGCTAAGTAGCTGGAAGGCTGAGGTGGAAGGATCGCCAGAGCCCAGTGGGTTGAGGCTGCGGTGGCCGGGAGCGGCCACTGCACTCCAGTCTGGGCGACAGAGTAAGACTCCAACTCAAAAAAAAAAAAAAAAAGTAGAAAGTGAAGCCCGTCTCTGGTTCATGCATGGTCTTAGCTGCTAATTTGGCAACATCCTTCTAAATGCCTTGCTTTGCAGATATACATGTTATTTTCAAAATTGTGTTATCCCTTTTAAAACCTGTATACCCAAGGTAAATTGCAATTAAGTCTATAATTTAGACTCATTGTTCCATAATACTATTTCACCAATTAATCTAAAATAGTGACTAATTGGAGTCTTTAAATATAATTTATTTTTAGAAGAGTTCTGAGTTTACGGAAACATGGAGAAGATGGTACAGAGACTTCCTGTGTACCACACACCTAGTTTCCCCTATTAACAGTTTGCATTGGTGTGATGGGTTTGTTGCAATTAATGAGCCAGTGTTGATACACTATCATTAACTAATGTCTAGACTTTATTCAGACTTCCTTAGTTTTTTACCTAGTGTCCCTTTTCTGTTCTGAGATTCCATCCAGGATGCCACATTACATTTAGTTGTCACATCGCCTTTGGCGCCTCTTGGCTGTGACTGTTTCTCCAACCTTCCTTTTCCTTGATAATCTTGGCGATTTTAGGAGTGCTGGTTAAGTGCTTTGTAGGGTGCCCCTCTGTTAACAGTTTGTTTGATGTTTTTCTCATAATGAGCCTGGAGTTATGAGTTATTAAGAGGAGGAACACAGAAGCAAAACGCTATTCTTTCACATTCTATCAAAGGCTTATACTGTCAATGTGATTTATCACTGTTGGCATTGACCTTAATCACCTGGCTGAGATAGTGTTTGACAGGTTTCTCTGCTGTGAAATCTTTTTTTTCTCTCTCTCTTTCCACACTATTTGGAAGCAAGTCACTATACAGCCCACAATGACAGGGTGAGGATTCAACTTCCCTCACCCTTTAAGATCACAATATCTGCATAAGGTATTCAGAGTTCTTCGGTACAACAGGTTTGTCTCTTTTCCTTAATTTATTCATTTATTCAATCATTTTTATCAGTACGCGCTCATGAATATTCATTTTATACTAATGAGTCAGTAGCACTTTATTATTATTTTTTTTGCCCAGATTATTACAGCTTTGGCCACTGGGAGCTTATCAATTATTCTCTGTTCTTGATGATACCTAGACAGAGTTGTTTTGATATTGCCAGGTAAGTCTAAAATAGATCAAAGGAAAGAAGCACGTTTCTCCTAGGGGGAAATGCTTTTGTGACAGAAGAGACCTTTTAAAAGATGGCAGCTTCATATCATCCTTGTGGAATCAACAACTGATCCAGTGGCCCTGTTTTTATACTGAGATGTCTTTGTTTTCATTCACTCAGGACGGCATTCACAGAGGAGGATTCTGAGTTAGTTGTAAATTATATAGCAAAGAAGTCTTTCTGTCGGCGAGCCATTGAACTCACCTGTAAGTTGATTTTTATTTTCCTTTTGGCAAAAGTTAACAAAGATGACAACAAAGAAAGGAAAATAGACAGATTTCTAACAAAAGCCAAGGGAATTCAAGAGTGGATATTTTAAATTTCTAGAAACCAGCAAGCAAGTAGATGGTCAGATACCTCCATACATGTCTCTATTGGCTAATTTACTGGAATCTGGAGCTGGTCCTGGGGTTAGGTCACTGGGGTTAAGGTCTCATAATGTTATGACATGCACCGTGAAAGAAGAACTTTCTGCGATGATGGGACATGGGTAGAGACCCAGGATTTAAAGAAAACAGCAAAGTAACAAACCTAATCTCAAGCCTCATTTCCTATTTTCCTGGCAACCAACTCAGAGGATGATTTGCCAACATGTTTTATGGTAATTATGGTTTGAGTTTTGCTGAATCAGAGAATGGGACCTTCTGGTTTAAAGAATGGAAATAGGCCAGATGTGGTGGCTCACTCTGTAATCCTAGCACTTTGGGAGGCTGAGGCAGGAGGATTGTTTGAACCCAACCCAGGAGTTCAAGACCAACCAGGGCAACATAGCAAGACCTCATCTCTACAAAAAACAAAATTATAGCCAGGAGTGGTGGCACATTCCTGTAGTCCCGGTATTCATGAGACTGTGGCAGGAGGAGTGCCTGAACCCAAGGAGTCAAGGCTGTGGTGAGCCGTGATGGTGCCACTATGTTCCAGCCTGGATGACAGAGTGAGACCCTGACCCAAAAAAAAAAAAAGAAACTAAACAGATAACAACAGATAGCAATGCTCTTAAATAATTTTAGAAAAAGTATAGAAAATATGTGCAAATATTAACAGATTTATTCTTCTGGATGTTCCCCCCCAAAAGACATAAGGTGATGAAATAAAAGTTACTATGAAATAAAAACTTACTTGATGTAGAATATTATTAATTTCTTATCAGTAAGTTTTGACTTTTAGATTTCTCTGTTCTTGCACTTTTATTTTGAAATTCTAAATGTTTACATTAAAAAATGTGTCATTTAGACCAATTTCTTTCCTTTATTGGGGGAACATTGGATAAATTTTTTTTCTCTGAGAATGAATGTGTCCTTTCTAATTATCCACATTTTTTTTTCTTTCAAAGATTTGCTCATGCCTTAACTAGGGCCCAAACCGAAATATTTGCCAAATGGTTATTGAATGGGTCTCCCTCTCCTGGTTAATTCTTCTTGTTGCCAGCACATGTCTATGCTGCATATCTATTAGATATCTTATTGTAGAGAGTCTTATTCTCCAATTCCTCAAAGTACTCAGTTTAGTACTTTCTATGTCATTATAATGAAGTTCCATATATCATATGTAGAACAATAGCTTGTTCTCTAAATGTGGTTTGTGAAACTCCTTTCCTAGTGTGGGAGGATGGGAAGGTGTCCTAATGGCTCTTTTATATACTGTAGTTAGGGATATAGTAGCAAAAAGTTGACCAGAAAGTACCTATTAACTTATCTTTCTTACCCCTTTATGTGAATCTGAATTGTTGTCTGAATCTATTGTTCTGATTTTTATAGTTCAGAATTAACATTGCCCTGAAGGATTCCTCATACTCACTTGAATCACAGTAGAATTAAGTGTGATGTTTTATTGCTGGCATTTTTTTGAAGAGAAATAATGGGTATAAAATGAAAAAAAGAATATTTCACTATTGTATAGGACTTTACATGTGGCTTTAACTATTCAGATGACAGAAAACACACTGACAACTCCTCTAAATGCTCTGTTATTCCTTTGCTAGTACAAAACTTGGGAGTCAGCGAGGAACTACAAAATAAACTAGAAGATGTTGTGATTGACAGGAATCTTCTAATTCTTGGAAAAATTCTAGGTGAAGGTAAGCAGCTTCACATAATTCTTTTAAAATGTGGAGTAAGTGAGCAGTTTAGAACTGTTTTTAAAAATGCATTTTTATGAAATAAAATACCATTTTATGACTTGGAGTTATAATGAAGGCAGTTATATTTTATAATTTGAAATGACAGAGTGATAGAGTGATTTCTGAAGCTCGCATATAGCAAATTAAAAGCTCCTTTCCAGTGCCTAGAACACACCCTAGGCCCTCAAGAAAATTAATTCCCTTTCTTCTTTGAAAAGCATGCGGTTCATTGATCAGTTTCCTATGTACCTTAAAATTATTCCTACTAGTTCTTAAGTTTATTGTTCTTGGTACCTACCTAATTAGTTGAAAAGATGAAAATGCATATTTAACTTGTTCAGTTGTTCTTAGGATGAATGATAATGGTATTAAGAGTTTGTGTTTTGTGAGCTTCACTAGCGTTTTTCGTGTTCTCCTTGGATGAGTGTCTTGGATCAGTTATAATGCTTAATAAACAGACGGGCTAAGGTAGGCCTGCGCTACCCAAGCTCATGACAAGCAGGAGACCAGTGTTTGGCAGTAGGCTGTGGTTTGCGAGTGTGGGCTTCCTAAGCAGGTTCTGCCCAGCTGCTAGAGGATGAGTTGCTCTCGAACCACATGAAAACAGCAGCTCTGGCACTGTGATATTTTTGTGGTCAGGAAAGATTTTGCACTGCGACCATCTAGATGTGGTTTTACCTCACAGGAGAGTTTGGCTCTGTGATGGAAGGAAATCTCAAGCAGCAAGATGGGACCTCTCAGAAAGTGGCAGTGAAGACCATGAAATGTGAGTTATTAATGGTGAAACCCATTCTTCTGGGGGGGGCAGCTGCCTCAGTATTGGGTGCTCCATGAGGCCAGTGATGGTGTTAATATGTCATGATCTCAGTTGCAGATGGGTCAGAGAGAGGACAGTGGAGAACACTGGTCACCAAGGGGCAGTTACCATAATGAGCTCTTCATGCATACATTATATATTCTTTACACGCGAGGCAATAGTGTTTGTTACTTTTACTATCGCTGGGGCACCTGTACGTTCTCTCATACTCATGCTCTCTCTGTTTCTGTTATCTAGAAGAACTAACAACTCCAAAGTAAGGCATGAATTTCTGAGGCGGGGGTGATCTAGGGGCAGCATGTGACCCTGGAGTCGGTCTGGCTGGGCTGTCTAGTGTGGTGGGGCCACTTCCTCATTTGAGGACGATTGCATGGCCCTTGGAAAGCTGTGGGCTACCCAGAAAGGGAGAAATATTCTTTGATCGAAAGTATAGGAAGAGCTGCTGTCACAAGTTAGAACCTCCAAGCAAGCTGGGAGGGGAGCCAGTGGCATGTCTGGGAGGGCCTTGTAAGCCATAACAAAGAATCTGCTTTTAACTTGCCAGGAGTAGAGCACTATTAAGTGTCTTAAGCGAATGAGGAACAGAGCAGGTTATATTCTTGGAAATTGACTTTGGGGTCAGTGTGGAGGAGAACTAATTACAGTGTTGACAAAAATAGTGGTTGATGCCAGGTAGGACAGTAGAATCTGTGCAATTATCTATAGATAAGAAAACTGTCTATAGTAACTTGCTGAATGGTCTAAGTGGAAAAGCTAGAAGGAGCCAGATTGTTCTGGACTTTTTCACTGCCGTAAGATGACCAGACTTCAGTGACCCAACAATACCTTGTTCATTTTCCCCCATGTCCTTCTCCTAGGAAGTGTTTGTTTGTTTGTTTGTTTGTAGAGACGAGGTTTCACTATGTGTCCAGCTGTTCTCAAACTCCTAAGTTCAAGTAGTCCTCCCACTTGGTCTCCCAAAGTGCTGAAATCACAGGCATGAACCACTGTGCCTGGCCCTAAGTTTGTTTCTGCAGGTGTCCAACTGGTTGTGGCCCATCACTGGGACACTTAGGAAATAGACCATGATTGTGTGACATTTTACCTGCTGTCGTCATCATGATTCTTATGGATGGAAATTATTTGCTGCTCAGTTGGCCAATATATATATATATTGTTGGTTGTTTTGGGTTTTTTTGAGTTGGGGTCTTACTCTGTCACCTAGGCTGGAGTGCAGTGGCACAATCACAACTCACAGCAGTCTTAACCTTCTCAGCTCAGGCAATCCTTCCACCTCAGCCTCCTGAGTAGATAGGGCTTCAGGCCCACACCACCACCACACCTGACTAATTTTTTTTTTTTTTGTAGAGATGAGGTCTTGCTATGTTACCCAGACTGGTCTTGAACCCCTGGGCTCAAGTAATCCTCTCACCTTGGCATTCCAAAGTGCTGGGATTGCAGGCGTGAGCCACCACACCTGGTCTCAATTTGGCAATATTCTTTTTTTTTTTTTTAAGATTTTAATAATATTGGTAAGAAACCAAATTGCAAAATGCCCAGTATGTGATTAGGAAGGTGACACTTGTGTGCTGAAGGCCCAGTGCCAGGGCACAAATGAGCTCCAGTCACCAATAACTCTGCAATAAACCACCACTCCAGGTGGGTAGAATTCCTCACAAGTCACTTCCAGAATAGGAACTCAGTTACTCTGGTTGCAGGTAGGCCTTGGAAATGATTCATGTTGGCATGCAGAGGAGAGGCCGCGCATCCATGTGGGAGGATCCTCCCATCCGTGTAACCAGTGGCCACTGTAGCAGAGTATGGTCTTGGGAAGGCACCAAGGGGAGACAGGCTGTCTCCTCTGGGAACAACTCATTATTCAGATAAACAAAATGGAAGAGCCACATGAAGTTTGTCAATTTTTTTTTTTTTTTTTTTTGAGTCAGAGTCTCAATCTGTCACCCAGGCTGGAATACAGGGGCATGCTCACGGCCACCGCAACCTCAACCTGCTTCCTCGACCTGCTGGTCTCAGACAATCCTTCTGCCTCAGCTTTCCAAGTAGCTGGAACCACGGGCATGTGCCACCACACCTAGTTAATTTTTCGTGATTTATTGTAGAAATGAGGTCTCACCAAGTTGTCCGGGCTGGTCTCGAATCCCTGGGCTCAGGCAACCCTCTCATCTCGGTCTCCCAAAGTGCTGGGATTATAGGTGTGAGCCACTGCACCCGGCCTGTCAATATTCTTGATGTTGCTTTCTGATTAGCTTTCTGTACATATTCAGTACTATTTTTGATCAAAGAATAAAGTAAAATCTGTTTCCTCCTGAATTCTTAATCCACCATTTATAGGACATTACAGCATAAGCTAGATTATAAGCATGTATTGAGACTCTTAAACCAAAATTGGAGTCTGAAGTTTAATTCAGTTATAAAAAAGAGGAGCCACGATAACCAAGTCATGTGGACCTGCTTTTTAAGTACATTATAATAGCTAATACTTTTTAATGCTCACTGTGAGCAAAAGGACATTGCAATCATTCCAGTATTTCATCAGTACAACAGGAACGGAAAATCAGCACAGCTGGGAAGTAGGATCAAGAACTAGCCCCCAGAAACAAAAACACCCAGAAGTTAGAATACTCACCAGAGCTGAACCCAGTGTGGAGCACACTCAGCATCATTCTTGCCTCTTGGATTATTATATTTGAGTCTTGCAATGTGATTGTAAGGAGGCATTCCATTATCCCCATTTAGGCAGGTAGGTTTAGGGAGCGTAGTAGAAGGAACTGAGCCTAGGACCTGCTTCTTCTCTGGTCTGGCTCTGCTGTGCTTTCACTTAGAATAACCTGTACAGGAGTTCCGTCCCTGCTAAATATCAAAGACTGAAAGCATAGTCTCTAGCCTCAAATTGCTTAGACTCATCTACATTTGCCTGGAGTTTGGTCCATTAGGGAAGGGGTCTGTAGGCAAACCCCTGCTCCTCTATTTCACCCACCCGGTTGTTGACAGTAAAGGGAATAGGTGAGGGCAAAGTTGGCAGACATTTTGCAGGTGTATAGATCTTTTAAAATTTTTCTGAATTTGCTTTTTTGTTTTGTTTCTGTTTTTTGAGTTGGGGTCTCATTCTCTTGCCTAGGCTGGAGTGCAGTGGCAGTCACAGCTCACCACAGCCTCAAACTCCTGGGCTCAAGTGATCCTCCCTCCTCAGTCTCCTAAGTAGCTGGAACTATAGTTACACTCCACCACTTTTACATTTTTGTGGAGACAATGTCTTGGTATGTTACCAGGCTACTCTTGAATTCCTGGGATCAAGTAATCCTCCTGCCTTGGCTTCTCAAAGTGCTGGGATTACAGGTGTGAACCATCACATTGGCTAAATTTGCTTTTATAGAAAGATTAATATATATTAAGCCCATAGGATGGTACAGACACTGTACTAGATTCATGTATGATATCTTTTTCTTTTTCTTTTTTTTTCTTTTGTTTTTGAGTCAGAGTCTCACTCTGTTGCCCAGGCTGGAGTGCAGTGGCACGCTCACGGCCACCACAGCCTTGACCTGCTAGGCTCAGGTGATCCTTCCACCTCAGCCTTCCAAGTCATGGGAACCACAGGCGTGTGCCACCATGCCCAGTCAATTTTTTGATTTATTATAGAGACAAGGTCTCGCCAAGTTGCCCAGTCTGGTCTCAAGCCCATGGGCTCAGGAAATCCTCTTGCCTCAGCCTCCCAAAGTACTAGGATTACAGGCGTGAGCCACCGTGCCTGGCTTCATGTGTGATTTCAATTAGTAATTACACCTTGTTAAAGCAAATTTCCTGAGGCAGGCCTGTCTTTATACTTTGTTTGTTTTTAATTTTGGTCAAATACATGTGATGTGAAATTGACCATCTTAACAACGCTTAAGTGCATAATTCAGTGGTATTCAGAACATTCATAATGTTGTACAACCATTGCCACCCTCCATCTCCAGAACTTTCCATCTTACAGAACTAAAACTCTGCACCCAGTAAACAATAACTCCCCATTCCCCCAGCCGCTGACACCCACTGTTCTACTTCCTATCTCTGATTTTGACTCTCTGGATATCTCACACAAGTGGAATCATATAGTATTTATCCTTTTATTACTGGTTTAATTTCACTTAGCATGACATGGAATTTTAAATGTCTCTCTTAAATCAGTTTAATTCCAAAAACTGGGTATGAAAGTACATCCAGTTCACAAGGCATGATTGACAGCCAGGTTTGCAGGACATACACCAATAGAAAAGGAGAGGCATGGCTTGCTTTCTTTTGTTCTTTCTTTCAGCAAGATAATCGTAACAGAACAACTAGAATTTATTTTAGTTGGTTTTGGAGTGTTTTTTTTTCTTTTGCTAATAGATTTTAATTTTTTTAGGTTTATATATATTTTTTATATTTCATTTTAAAGATGTGGGGTATAATTCAGGATTAGGTATACAAGTGGACATCATACAGGTAAAGTTTGGGCCTCCCCTTGGTCTCCACTTTGCCAGGTTTGAGATCAGTGCCCTTATTGATATTGTATCTCCACCCCACCTCCCCAGATTTTAATTTTTTAGAACAGTTTTAGGTTTACAGAAAAATTAGGCAGAAAATAGAGTTCTCCTTCCCTCATATACATTTCCACTTTTATTAACATCTTTCATTAGTGTGCTGTATTTTTTGCAATTGATGAAGCCTTAATGATACATTACTATTATTAACTGAAGTCCATCATTTATATAGACTCACTCTTGGTGATGTATAGTTCTGTAGGTTTTGACAAATGTATAATGTCATGTATCCACCATTTTAGTATCCCACAGAGCAGTTTCACAGCCCTAAATGTCCCCTCTGCTTCACCTATGTGTCCTCTCTTCTCTTCCATGACCCCCATGAGCCCCTGATAACCAACTGACTGGTCCTGTGTCCTGGTCCTATAGTTTTATCTTGTTCTTGACTTTAGTTTCAGAGAATAAAATTGCTGTCACCGGTCCCCTCCCCTTAACTGAATAAACTATTCGTGGCCTGACGTTTTTCATCTTCTCCTGTAGTGGACAACTTTTCTCAGCGGGAGATCGAGGAATTTCTCAGTGAGGCTGCCTGCATGAAAGACTTCAGCCACCCAAATGTCATCTGTCTTCTAGGTACCTCAGAGGAATGTAGGGACGGGTGGAGGGAGTTTAGCTAATCTAATCTGTGCCAAAGGAAAAGTCTCTTTGACACATATAAGTTTACACTTGGTATAATCCCAAAATAATTTATAACATTGGGTTTTTCACCCCAAGACTTCTCCTAACGGTTATGTTTTTTAAAGCTGATAGTAGAAATGAGTTTGCATTACCTGGACACTGATGGGCTACAGAATGATTAGAGTATCCACAGAATTCCAAGAAAGGATGAATTAAGTAGCCCCCCGTTACTCAAAGGCAAGACAGAAGAACTGATCATGTTACAATTTTTATTGGTTTAAGATTATCCAGTAATCAGATACAAGTGGAGTAAAGTTTTTTTAATAAGATGACTAAACTATATATTATATTTTTTATTTTAATAGCTAAATTGTTTTTTTTAATTTTAAAGATGTGGGGTACAATTCAGGATTAGGTATACAAGTAGACATCATACAGATAAAGTTTGGGCCTTTATTTGGTCCCCGCTTTGCCAGGTTTGAGATCAGGTACCCTTACTGATGTTGTGTCCCTACCCCCCACCCCAGCAGTATCCCACTACTACCAATCCCTTGGGGTAAACTTTTTTTTAGATTAAAAAATACAGTTTATTTAAAAGTAAATTAGGAAGAGAGAGTGAAAGAGAGAAAGAGAAGATTCACCTTCCCAAGGTAGGGGAGGGGGCCAAAGCCAGGAAGCATGGTGACAGCCATAGCTCAGAGAGCACATGGCCATACCAGCAAGGCAATGGCCGGGGTAAACTTTAAGAACTAAATTCCATAATCTTTGAGAAATTATTTATTAACCTATATGAAAATACTGATTTCTTATGATCAATTGACAATTTCATGGAAGGTGACCGAACAGTTCCAAGAGAACTTGACCTAACATAATTTGGCTTTGCAGTTTTGTTAGCTAAAAAACACAAAAGGGGAGATAAGATATTGAGTGACCCTATTTCTAGAGAAAAGCACAGCCAGGAAATAATTACATTTTCTGTTGCTCTCTCTCTCTCTCTCTTTGTTTTTAAAGTTTTATGTGACTGACACTGCAGGGAGATGTGAAAACTAATATTTGGATACAATATTATGTCAAAGAAACTACTGTTATTCGTTTGCAGCTATTGGCTTTAGCAGACTAAGAGAACAATTGTACTTTGTAATCCTCCAAGAAGTGTTTGTCGTAAGCCTGGAATCAGGTGACAAGCTTTAGTGCTTACATTCCATGATAAAGGGTTTTGTAGCTTCTCCTTTACAGAACTTAAAATTCAGGGATGTGGATTTTACCTATAGGCCCTCAAAATTCTGTAAATAGTTGTAAGCATTTGGTTGTAGTAGACTTATTCATACGAGTAAGCATCTAATGAAACTAGTTTACCCTTGAATCCTAGTGGCGTCCTTGCCCCTCAGTGACTCAGCCTAACAAAAACACGTAGGTTTCCAGAAGGCTACTCTTGTTACAGATTGACTTTTTCAGAGCTGTCATGCAAAGATGGGTACTAATCTAAAGAAAAAAAAAATAGGCGACCCTGCGTATGTCCCATTTTCTAGAATAGAGTGAGAATTAGGAGCTCTCATTTTTTTTCTGTTAACTTGGTAACCCATGGTTTCAATTTGGCCATTGGTCCTCTGGGGCCTTTCAGATCACACGTAACAAGGGCTCTTTGTAACTGAGGCTGTGTTTTTAATTTCAGGTGTATGCATAGAAATGAGCTCGCAAGGCATCCCAAAGCCTATGGTAATCTTACCCTTCATGAAGTATGGGGACCTGCATACCTATTTACTTTATTCCCGATTGGACACAGGACCAAAGGTAATAATTTCCTTGTGTTGCTGCTCAGCAGTTCTCGGGACTTATGTGACGGAGTCAAGATACCTCAGCGTCTAACCTCGAAAATGAAGGCGGGAAGGCCCTGACTTCTGTTCGTTGCTCACGATGTACCCTGGTGTTGAAATGTGGTATCCGTCCACACAGCAGGCCTACTCGTGGACAGTATTATTCCTGCTTTATGGTGGGGGGAAGTGGCTGGGTGGAGTTGGTGGGCTCCCAGCCCCATGCTTCACGCCCCTTGTGGCCACATACTCCCCAGAGCTCACAGACAGTAGGAAGGCCATTAAAGACAGTGCTCCTAAAAGAAATTTTACAGAGCTCCTTCTGTATTTCATGAATTTCAACCTTTAAAGAAGTTATGGGCTCTTCTATAGGGACCTAACAAAAAGAAAAAAAAAAAGAATGAAGAAGCGTGGGTGAGCCAAGAGGACTATAGAATCTGACATTCTGAAAAATGCTTGTAATATTTTAATCCTTAAATTGACCACCCCACTGTGAGACTGTGAGGCCCTGGTCATCTTGGGTATATCTGTAATGGCAGTTATGGACCAACTAGGAAATTTAGGACCATAAAGGGGCTTGCCCTCGTCAGGGTCAGCTTCCAGTACGGTATCATTGGGGATATTGTGTTTTCATTTCCTGGGCTCCTTATCTGAAATGAAAATGAACTCCTCCTCCCGTTATTTCCTGCGGACAGACTGGGCTGCGAACAGGAGGTGTAAGTGTGTTCATACCTGGCCGAGCCATCCACCCTTCCTGCATTTCCCGCTCCTTCTCTGTCTGTTAGAAAAGGCAGTGATCCTATAGAGTTCTGGTCAGGGCACACATGCTGTAGCCAGGATACTGCTGATCTGTGTCAACAATGGTTCTGTATGAGGACAGAAGTCACTCCAGGCCAACACTGCCCAAAATCACTGCTATGAAGAAGCACAGGTCCTGGGAGGGAACTGCCCCACTCGATCTACAGCTTGCCATTTTCTGACACGGTCCCCTTAGCTGCCGTCAGTAGCAGGACTCTGGTGAGTACAATTAGAAATACCTTTTTCCAGCCTGTAATCCCAGCACTTTAGGAGGCCGAGGCGAGTGAATTGCCTGAGCCTGCGGGATCGAGACCAGCCTGGGCAACTTGGCAAGACCTTGTCTCTACAATAAATAAAAAGTTAGCTGGGCATGGAAGCACGTACCTGTAGTTCCAGCTACTTGGAAGGATGAGTCAGAAAGATCACCAGAGCCCAGCAGGTCAACGCTGGGGTGGCCAGGAGTGTGCCACTGCACTCCAGCCTGGGTGACAGAGTGAGACTCCAATTCAAAAAAAATTAAAAGAAATACCTGTTTTCCTCTTTCATCAGTGATGGTTGACTCTTGGAAAGATTCTTGCTGCTGTCACCTTAGGGTATGAAAAGTCTACAGGATGAAAAGTAGAAAATGTTCTCCAGATCCTAAAACCCTTTCCCACTGGTCCTGCATACAAACCCCAGAAGGGGAATATCTGCATGTGCCTACAAGTGTATAAAACAGAGGCATAAAACTTTCATGCCTGATTTTTTAGCTTTTTTTTAAACAACTCCATTACTTAAGGGCAAGAATAATTAAACATTTTATTTATATATATAGCATGTGTCTTGGTTAGGAAATGTGTCTTAGTTAGGAAATGTAAATCTTTAAGAACATGGTGTCTTCATGAGTACTGTTTTAGAAAACTCTATTCTGTGGAAGACAAGCCATGACAAAGCCGATGCCTTGGAGAGTATATATTATGCGTGGATTGATTCACAATTACCAGAAACTTGTGGTAAGGGCTGTGACTGCACTAAAGGATGTAGTTATTACATGGAAGTTTCAACAGTCATCATCCTCTTAAGCAATTCTCACAATGGCTTTCTTTTTTTTTAATTGGAGTCTCACTCTGTCGCCCAGACTGGAGTGTAGTGGCACGCTCCCAGCCATCGCAGCCTCAACCTGCTGGCCTCTAGCAATCCTTCTGCCTCAGCCTTCCAAGTAGCCGGAACTACAGGCGTATGCTAACACGCCCGACTAATTTTTGATTTATTGTAGAGACAAGGCCTCGCCAAGTTACCCGGGTAGGTCTTGAACCCACAGGCTCAGGCAATCCACTCGCTTCAGCCTCCCAAAGTGCTGGAATTACAGACTAAGCCACCGAACCTGGCCTAGTTTTCTAACATTGCAGTCTGGTTTGACTCTTACAACAGAGAAAACACTACCCTTGAAGTGTATAGGAGGGCCCTACAGGAACAACGAAAATCCCTGACTACACACTTGTAGTGCTTGGTCCTGTGAGGTGAAGACTGTCCTAATTTCTGTCTAGAAGAAAGAAGTATTTTTAAAAACATTTCAAAGTAAAGTGATAGCAGATGTGGGTGCCTAGTTGGAAACAGCTCCTTCTAAGTGGACTTTTGCCTCCTATACATTGGACACCTTCCCCTACATACACACCTCACTGTCACTCCTGTTCCTTCCCCTCCTCTGCGTGGTGTGGGCACTCTGTCCCAATGCCACTCAGAAATCACTCAGGATTGCAGTGGGCATAGTGACTTCTGTCTGTAATCCCAGCACTTTGGGAGGCTGAGGCAGGAAGATTGGTTAAGGCCAGGAGTTCGAGACGAGCCTAAGCAATGAGACCCCATCTCTACCAAAACAAACCGAAAAAAGGACATAACAATCACATTTGACCTCATAATTTGTAAAAAAGAAACAATGTTATTCACTATAAATATTTTTAAAGATGTGGAGAAAAGAATGTGATGTTTATCAAAAAGTTTAAGGGAGTTTTTTTTTCCTTTTTTAAAGACTTATTCGTGATATATTAGCAATATGGAAATGAAAGATTTATTTTCTTGTTTTATCACAACACTCTAAGAAATAAAAACATCATTCCCCACCCCATTCCCATGGAAATCAAGTTTTCCTTTTTAAAAGATAGTCTTTCTTCTTGTTTCCTCTCTTCTCTAGCATATTCCTCTGCAGACGCTATTGAAGTTCATGGTGGATATTGCCCTGGGGATGGAGTATCTGAGCAACAGGAATTTTCTTCATCGAGATTTAGCTGCTCGAAACTGCATGTAAGAATCCTGGGTCATGCTACAAGGGGTTGGATCTCATGGAGTTTGATCTTTGTGGGGATGAGGGGATGGCCCATCGCTGTTAAGATATAGAAGGAAACTGAGTTTGGCAGGGGACAGTGTGACTTGCTCTGAAGATGGGATTATGACTGGGTGTTTGCTTAGGGATTTTCACTTCCACTGCCTCTGAGTCTGCTTGGCTTCCAAAGCTTTCTCCTGAGACTACTTTTTTATTTTCACTCTCTCACTCGGGTAGGAGTGCTAGGTATCACCTTCTGGATCCTTTCCCACTGCCATCAGCTAGCTTTGAACCCAGAGTCAGATAAACATGAATACCGTAATGAAATTCATAAAAGATTTGTCACCAGGCGCAGTGGCTCATGCCTGTAATCCCAAGCCCAAGCGGTCTAGGCTACAGTGAACCATGATAGTGCCTCTATACTTCAGTCTGGGCCACAGAGTGAGACCCTGACTCAAAAGAAAACAGTTTTTATCTTTATTTGTTTGTGATGCTTCCTGGTGAAGAAGTTTTATGCTTTCAATACACAGAAGGCAATGGCTTATTATGCAAATACTTTGTACTTAAGTTCTTCCCGTTTCTTTAGCTTGCTTCAGCAGAGCCATCATCTGCTGTATATCTTCAGGAACTATAACTGTTACTTGATTTTTTTTTTTTTTTTTTTTTGAGTTGGAGTCTCACTCTGTCACCCAGACTGGATGGAGTGCAGTGGCACGCTCCTGGCCACCGCAGCCTCGACCTGCTGGGCTCTGGCGATCCTCCCTCCTGAGCCTCTCAAGTAGCCTGAACTACAGGCACGTGCTACCACGCCCGGCTAAATTTTTTTTAAGTTGCCGGTACTGGTCTCTAACCCACTGGCTCAGACAATCCACTCACCTCTGCCTCCTAAAGTGCTGGGATTACAGGCTGAGCCACCGAGCCGGCCTGTTCCTTGATTTCAAGTTTTCTATTGTGAGAAGAGGGAGTGGTCCTTAAATGTATGATTGTCATTTGTTTTTCTTGGTTAGAGGCATGACAATGGTGCCTTCCCCTTCAGACCTCCCAGCCAACCCCACCTCCAGGTCCCCTTTCACCTCATTTTTGAAAACCTCAAAGGGCTTTTAGTTTTGTTACTGTTTTTATTTTCTGCCATGGAGTAAGAATCATGAAAACCTATTCTTCTCTTACTATTTCCTTTCTTGCTTCTCCCACCAGGTAGGGCGACTAGCTTTCTGGTTTGCCCTAGACTGAAGGGTTTTCCAGGATGTGGGACTTTCAAGTTTTGAAAGTCAGTTTTGAGTAAAAAGAACAAGCTAATCGTCTACCCCAGATGTCTCTCTTTCTCTCTTCTCCTCCTTTTTACTCTTCTTCCACTCCCTCTTCCTCCTTTTTGTCTAGGAGCTATTGTCATCATCCTTGTCATCATTGTTGTTGTCATCTTTGTCGTTGTTGTTGCTGTTACTGTTTGAGTTAGAGTCTCTATCATGCAGGCTGGAGTGCAGTGACATGATCACAGCCACCACAGCCTCAACCTGCTGGGCTCAGGTGATCCTTCCACCTCAGCCTTCCAAGTAACCAGAACTACAGGCGCACACCACAATGCCTGGCTAATTTTTAAAAAATTTTTTGTAGAGATGAGGTCTCTCCAAGTTGCCCAGGCTGGTCTCAAACCCCTGGGCTCAGGCAATTCTTTTGCCTCAGCCTCCCAAATTGCTGGGATTATAGGCGTGAGCCACTGTTCCCTGTCTAGGAGCTGTTTTAATAACAGGCTATAAATGCAATTTTATCCCTTTAATTTCCTGGTTAATTTCCTCAAGCATCCACCTGGCCACCTTAGCAAGAAGCCCAGCATCTACCTCTTGCAGCACGTGCTCCCTACTTCCCCCGGGGGCTTACTTAGTCCACAGGGCCAACATTGCTTCCAGACCTCAAGCAGAAAGGCTACTCGGGCACCAGATTCATCAAACAGAGAGGCCTGGTTTGAGCTGCTGCTCTTTCTGTTTCACTTTGGGAGGTGCGGGTAAGAGGATTGCCTGAACCCAGGGGTTCGAGACCAGCCTAGCAACGTGGAGAAACCTCATCTCGACAGAAAATTTAAAAAATTAGCCAGGTGTTGTGGTGTGCGTCTGTGGTTCTGGCTACCTGGAAGGTTGAGGTGGAAGGATCACCTGAACCCAGCAGGTCAAGGCTGTGGTGGCCGTGATCATCCCTGTTCCCTCCAGCTATCTCCATCCACTGTGCACAGATCCCCACATAGTCCAGAGTGATGCCTCCCCATCTTGTGCTCTGCCACTGGTATCAAAGCAGGACTGTCACAAGCTGATGGGGTTCTGTTTTCTTTTGGTTACTTCTCATTCATGCTTTGGGCTACATCCAACGCAGACCAGTGATTTAAGACTTTGCCTCTGGGGTTGCTTGAGGTCATGAACTTGCTCTCTGTAGGTTGCGAGATGACATGACTGTCTGTGTCGCGGACTTTGGCCTCTCTAAGAAGATTTACAGTGGCGATTACTACCGTCAAGGCCGCATTGCTAAGATGCCTGTGAAATGGATCGCCATAGAGAGTCTTGCAGATCGAGTCTACACGAGTAAAAGCGACGTGGTATGTATGAAGCTTTGATTCAGGGCCCCATATTGCAAAGATTAGGGCATCTGAAAGAAATGACTTCAACTGGTGCTGCAAGACATTTCACTCTATTTTATTCTGAGTTAGGTCCTCACTGTCGCCAGGCTGGAGTACAGTGGCACGACTACAGTCTTGATCTCTCTGGGCTCAGGCAATCCTTCCGCTTCAGCCTTCGAAATAGCTGGGACTACAGGCATATGACACTGTGCCCAACTAATTTTTTTGTAGAGATGAGGTCTCGCTATGGTGCCCTGGCTGATGTTTTACTCTTTGATAAACTAAGGATTGGTAGCATGCTCAGACTTCTCTTTTATTTCTTGCTTGATACTTAAAGCCAGGTGGAACAATAGATTGTGGTGAAGCATCCTGACATTCAGAAGATCCATACTTTGCATAAGTCTTTAATTTATTCCCATTTTTCTTGGCTATCCAAGGATGACTTGTTGCCCGCAACTAAGATATTTCATATTCACATGAAATTGAATGAGTTCATCCAGTGGCTCTTGGGACCAAAATGCTATAGGAAAGGTGCTATGTAATTTTACCCTTGACCCCAGATTAGGAAAACACCTCACACAATGCCTTTGCTGAATTTCCCAGAATAACTTTTGTAAAAATAGGGAGCTGTGACACTCCAACCCCACGCCACTGTTGTGTTGGGAAAGCTGTGTGTCTCACAGATAATTGCCAGCTTTGTGCATGGCCATCAGGGTTTAAGGAAATGACCTTTCTTGATGAAAAAGTCCATTCAGCCTCTGTGGAAAGACTTGCATCCTAATTCGTTTTTGCTTTGTCCCCAGTGGGCATTTGGCGTGACGATGTGGGAAATAGCTACACGGGGAATGACTCCCTATCCAGGGGTCCAGAACCACGAGATGTATGACTACCTCCTCCACGGCCACAGGCTGAAGCAGCCCGAGGACTGTCTGGATGAACTGTGAGTGAGCGTCTCTGTGTCCCTAAACGCTCTGCCCAGGGCAGCCACTGGGCTCTGGGAAGAGACCTGGGAAACGCAGCCATAGGAGAGGAAAGGGCTGCTGTTAGCCAGGCAGGCGTGTGCAGAGGGTTGCACCTCAGACACCCCAGGCCAGTGGCCACTCTTGATGTGGGAGATGGCATTGACATCACATCCCCAGTGAACCCACCATGGTTCACTCACGCACAAGGTCTCAGCCTCAAAGGATGGGTGCTGTCAAGTTAAGGCAATGGCATGTGTCCCCCAAAATATTCCTTATGTGCCTGAGGAAATACATCCACAGATAAATAGGTTTGCTTATAGAGCATGGGATCCATCAGTGATTCCTCACCTTCTTTCAGTCCAGTTATCCTTCTCTTTCAATGTAGCATTTCAAACACACCACTCACAGGAATACCCTTCATTAGGAAACTTAGAAATCCAAGCCAGACACTTTAAGATCAGACTGGGGTCAGAATTACTAGGGGGTTATTCTAACAATGCAGTTCCTCAGCCCTGTGCCTGGAGATTGTGATGCTTTTGGTACAAAGTGGGCCCAGAGTATGTGTTTTAAAATGTGCTCGGCCAGAAGTGAGAACCCCCAGCTCCAACACATGTAAGACCGCAGGGCACATCCCTTCCTAACGGGCCCCTCTCTGTCTTAAAAGACAGGCAGTGTGGGGCAGTGGCCTGGACCTTGGCGACAAACAGGCAGGCTCTGCCTCCTAATTAGCCACATGTGTGGGCATGGCAATTAATCTCCCCTAATCACCTTGCTGACCTTTTTAAAACAATTTCTTTTGGTGATTCAAACCTTCCTAATGGTAAGTCTCTTCCCTGTATAATAAGGGCCGTGGGCTTGGAGAGGAGCATTCTCACTGGATTTAGCATTTTGGGACAGTAGGCCTGTACTGGCTTGGTCATGGAGTGCCATGCCCAGGCTTGTGCATGTGAGCATAGACACCACCACCGTCCCCCTACTCCCACATACATTCTGGCTCTGCTACCCCACACGGGAGAGAGAACTTGGGTCCCTTTGCCCCCAGTCCTCCCAGGTCTCTTCTAAGCCAAACAAAAGGAAACTGTTTTCATCAGAACGTCGCCTTGCTTGGTAGTTATGGTGGTGGAGGTGGTGGTGGTTATTGTGGTTGTGAATGTCTCACATTAAGAACAGAAACAAACACTGTAAATCTTTTTAAGGCATCGTGAAATGCTAATTAAATTAGTTCTTGGGTTTCATGGTAGTTTTCAAAAGGACCATGTTCATGAAATGCTCTCTTCTGAAAATAAGAAAGCATTTCAATCAAACAATGCTGACTGGAAAGAGTTTTGTTGCAGTGTTTTTCTTAGCTTTCCCCACGCACCAAACAAAGTTGATATTTGCAGTGATTATCTTGGGTCTTAGTGAGGTCTAAGCTGTGTCACATTGTGGTTTTTTAGAGCCCAGGCAAGGGAATGCTGAGTTGACTTTCTGTGAGACTTTTTAGGGAACAGAGACCAGAGTCAGCACTCACTGTGTGGCTAGGGATGTCAGGCGGAAGCACCCAGGCGGCCCCGCAGACCCTGCCTCCAGCTGTGGCCCCCACCTCCAGCTTTGGCTACGCTCTGGCCTTGAGGCCCTGGGGAGCCCGGCTTGCTTCCCTGTCTTCTCTCACATCTGGAGGCTGGCAAACCACAGCATCCCCCAGAGAGGCCTCTGTTTCCATCTCTGAGGTATTTCCTTTTAAAAATGAAATGAATCCTTCTAGCTTCTTGCTGTCTAAACATAGTTGAGATGAGTTAACTCCTGTGTTGAGTTTTCTTCATTTTTTTAAAGAGTCAGCTCTGAAATACAATGATATAAACCACAGAGTGCATGTCGTGGCCTGCCCGCCGGTCCCGCCCCTCCAAGGGCCACCTCCTCATGGCATCATCCCCACCTCTTCATGACCAGACTGCAGGCCCTGCCCCACTGCCCAAGTGGCTGCTGTCTGTTATGCCAGCTTCCATGGCACATTTTCCCACTGAGCTCATCACAGCTACCCCACAGCCCTCAGGACGTTCCCCACCAACTTACCACCATAGCTCATGACACCAACACTCATTCCTCTCCAGAGTGACACTTGGACGCCACCTTGTTCTCTCTGTCCCACTGGGTCCCACCAGCTAGCAGATGTCCTTCAGAGTACTCCTATTCTTCCATTCCTATCGCTAATACCAGCAAACCATAGCATCCCCAGGCTGGATGGGGCCAGGGTCATCTGCTCCCACTCCCTCATCACATAGGAGGAAACAGTGGCACAGCATAAATGAGTAAATGAGTGGCCAGGGCCAGCACCACTTCCTGCTGAGCGGTACAGGCAGACCCTTTAATGTTTCCTTCTTCTGGTTCCTGACTCTCCTTCACCTCCAGGCTCCTAATATAGCCTTTGAATGGCCGCCAAAGCAAACTTTCTAAAATTAGGATCATGGAGTGCTTCTCCAGCTCATCTTTCTGTGATTTTTCATTGCCCATGGGGTGAAACTCAAATCTGTTGGGATCTGACCTGACAGGCAGGGCAACTGAGTGGCTAAGAACCTGGACTGTAGGACCAGACATTCCTTGATTTGAGTTTCAGCTTTATCCTCATCCTTGGGCAAAGCATCAGCCTCTCAGGTTCCCCATCTGTAAAATGGGTATAATGGTCCCTGTGTCATGGGATGGTTATGCTGATTGAGCAAGCTGACATCTATAAGGTATTTTGTACAATCGCACCAAGAGTAAACCTGAAGGGAAGATCGGTGGTTGATATTTTCAGTGAAAGAAACAGAGGCTGTGGATAAGAGCAGGGGCCCTGCGTTAGATGGACTGGGCACTGCTCCTGACTGCTGGCATGACTTCAGTCAGTCCTCTCCAAGCCTCAGCTGCCCTGTGAGTGGAACAGCATTTCTTCCTTCCTGGGGCTGCAGTGAGGAGTGAACAGTTGGGACACGGCAGCCACCCCATGGCGAGCACTCGCTGGTAACATTCTATCTGCGTCAATCACGCTGACTCGGGCTCCTCTCTGGGGCTAACATGCTGCCTGTCACAGCACTGCCCTCAGACTTCTCCCACCTGACTTTCCCTGCACTGTCCATGCGCTCTCGCACATCCTGGCATCCAGGGCCGGCTTGTTGGCAGGCGCAGAGCAGCCCTGCCTCTTGCCTGCTGCTTGTCTGTCCTGAGGACTGCAGCTCACACCCACCCTCTCCCTCTCAGAAACCCTCTTCTACTCACTGATCTGTCCCTCCATGCCATCTGAGGCAGCCTAGGCCCAGAGAAGGAATGGGGTGGGAGTCCTGGGGGCTGAATGGCAGAGCTAAGGCAGGTGTTGGCCAGTACAGTGGTGACACACGCGTGGCTGATGAGAGGTGGACGTCTGTTCCCTGAGCAGACTTGCAGCCCTGTGTTCTGCTATCCTCAGAGCCAGGAACAAAGCAGATGCTTGAAAAATAGGGGTAAAGTCATACTTTTATAAATTTTGTAAATTTATGCAATAGTATTTTTTTAATTATGGTAAAATATGCAAAACAAAATACTGATTTGACTACTTTGTATACAGTTTAGTGATATTAAGTACATTCACATTGTTGAATAACTATCATCACCATCCATCTTCAGAACTCTTTTCACCTTATTTTATTTTAGAGTCAGGGTCTCACTCTGTCATCCAGACTGGAGCGCAATGGCATGATTATGGCTCACAGCAGCCTTGGCCTCCTGGGTTCAGGCGATCCTTCCACCTTGGCCTCTCAAGCAGCTGGACCTACAGGCACATGCCACTATGCCTGGCTAATTTTTTTTTTTTTTTTTTGAGTCACCCAGGCTGGAGTGCAGTGGCATGATCACACCTCACTGTAGCTCAACTTCTTCAGCATTAACCTCCCAAGTAGCTAGAGTTACAGGCACATGCCACCATGCCCAGCTATTTTTCTTGATTTTTTTGTAAAGACGAAGTCTCACTATGTTGCTCAGGCTGGCCTCAAACTTGGCTCGAGAGATCCTTTTACTTTGGCCTTCCAAAGTGCTGGGATTATAGGCCTGAGCCACCACGCCTGGCCCCAGCTAATTTTTTTTTTGTTATTTTGTAGAAATGAGGTCTCACTATGTTGCCTAGGCTGATCTCAAACTCCTGGGCTCAAGAGATCCTCCTGCCTCTGTCTCCCAAAGTGCTGAGATTACAGGTGTGAGCCACTGCAGCCTTAAAACTTTTTTCATTTTATACTGAAACTCTCTGGGCTCGGTGGCTCAGTCTGTAATCCCAGCACTTTGGGAGGCTGAGACAAGTGGATTGCCTGAGCCTGCAGGTTTGAGACCAGCCCGGACAACTTGGCGAGACCTTGTCTCTATGATAAATCAAAGAAATTAGCTGGGCATGGTAGTGCGCATCTGTATGTCCGACTACTTGGAAGGCTAAGGTAGAAGGATCACCGGAGCCCAGCAGGTTGACACTAGGGTGGCCGTGAGCATGCCACTGCACTCTAGCCTGGGCAATGGAGTGAGGTTCCAACTCAAAAAATAAAATAAAACTGAAACTCTGTACCCATTAGGCTACTTCCATTCTCCCCTGCTCCTAGCCCCTGGCAACCTATATGATTGCATCTTTTATCAAATCTCAACAGGAAAACAAAAATGACCATTTTCAAGGGCAAATTACCAAACATATTTTTTCTTGCCATTCATAAAATGTAAACTACTAAACATCACAGCCTTACTATTACTTACCAGGTATAGAGCTTCCTGTTAACCCCCTTGGTCCACTACTATGAAATCGCCCTTTTGTGGGAGTAGGTTAGACAGTAGACATGCTCACCATGTCTTTAAAAGTCATATTTATATTTTTATGTATTTTATAAAGTGTTGAATGTAAAAGAAATTTCAAAGTGATGTTGCTTCTATTTTATATGAAAAAAAGATGAATTATGTAAACACTTTGTCCTAAGACATGCAATAAATGAAAGTAAATTAAATAGCACAGCCCTTTGATGAAGTTAATGAAAAGAAGATTATGTTCCTGAGGACAAAATGTCTCAAAGCTCATCTCAGACCTCAAACAATCAAGGCTCTGTGGAAAACAGAACCATGCAAATTGATTTATGCCATGAAAGCCCCCCCAAGTAGAAACAGAAGTCTTTTGCCAAGTCTAAAAGGCCATCTAATAAAGGTAAGGCGGGGAAATGAAAAAGAACTAAGTCTGAGACGAGAATGAGAATCATGAGACATGGAGATGCGCTGTGCCGTTGTCTAGGAGTCCTGCATCCAGGATTCTCTTTACATGGGTGGTGCTTTGCATATCTCCGCCTTCTAGAAGCATGTGTAAGTGTGGATTAAAGCAGAGACACTAGACAAACGAAAAGATATTTTACACATCTACATGAGATCTGTGTGTTGTATATGAGCCATGTTAGTAGAATTAGTCAGTGGATCTGTAGGCTGTAACTAAATGTAAATATGGAATTGCTCATAAGATACCAGTAATCTACTTCAGGCATCAGATGATTTAAATTTGAATTGTTTTTTTTTAATCCTATGACATATGCATAACCAGTTTATCAACACAGGAAAGGAGCAAAATGAGATGATGGTATAATTCACCCTTCATCTCAACCTAGGGATTCCTAATTGTCATTTCTCTGGTTTTTTTGTTTGTTTGTTTGTTTTGAGTTGGAGTCACACTCTGTTGCCCAGGCTGAAGTGCAGTGGCACATTCGCAGCCACCGTAGCCTTGACCTCCTGGGCTCAGGCCATCCTTCCACCTCAGCCTTCCAAGTAGCTGGAACTATAGGCACGCGCTACCACACCTGGCTTATTTTTTAATTTATTGTAGAGATGAGGTCTCACCAAGTTGCCCAGGCTGGGCTCAAACCCCTAAGCTCAGACAATCCTCTCATCTCGACCTCCCAAAGTGCTGGGATTACAGGCTTGAGCCACTGCGCCTGGCCTCATCTCTCTCTGTTTTACTGTGCTCCTTTAAATGTCCCTCCATCATAATTCATAATTATATTGAACACTGGGAATGAGAAAACTATTCAGAAGAGAGTCATCCTTTGTAGAATGCAGCAGAAGAGATCATGTGGAGTCCATGGATGTAGGAGTTGTCCAGTCTGAATCTGGTTCCCCTACTGCTCCCTGGTACCCACATTTGCCTGGCATGTTCTGTAACATCCCTGAGCTCACTCTCATCTTCATTACAAAGTGATGATGACAGGGCTGTTGAGAAGACTAGATGGAGTGATACACAACACACACCTACCCCCCCCACCCTCACTTTTGCTTCTGGCCTTGTTACCCCTAGCCCTGGGTTCCCATGCAACTCAGCTCTCCTTGTAACAACCCAGTTTGATGGCATAGGACAGAGGTGAGCAAATATTTTCTGTGTAGTGCCAAATAGTCAATATTTTTGGCTTTCAATTCTACCATTGTAGCAAAAGCAATTATAGACAACAGTAACCAAATAGTCATAGCTATGTTCCAATAAAACTTTATTTATGAAGCAGACTGTGGGCCAAATTTGGCTCATGTGCCAAAGTTTACCAACCCCTATATAAAGAAAAAACTCTTATTTGCAAAGTCTCTGTTATTCCTGGAAGCAGAGCCGCTTTCTTATCAAATACCCATGGAACACTTACAAAAGTTTTATAAGTAATAGGCCACCAAAAAAACTCAACAATTTTCATAAAATGAAGAATGAATGTTGATTAAAATATGATAAAAATCAAAGATTACTGAATTGTATACCACATCTTTAAAATAAAATAAGTTAATTTTAAAAATCAAAGATTAGATGAAAACAGAGGGGGTGGATCGCACTAAGGGACCTGAGTGCTGTGCCAGGAGATAATTCACTTTTTTGTGACTTTTAGGTATGAAATAATGTACTCTTGCTGGAGAGCTGATCCCTTGGATCGACCCACCTTTTCGGTGTTGAGGCTGCAGCTAGAAAAGCTCTTAGAAAGTTTGCCTGACATCCAGGACCAAGCAGGCGTCATTTACATCAACACACAGCTACTGGAGGGCTATGAGGACCTGGCTGAGGGCTCCACGCTTGCTCCACTGGACTTGCACATCGACCCTGCCTCGATCATTGCTTCGTGCACTCCCGGCGCTGCCATCAGCGTGGTCACAGCAGAAGTTCATGAGAACAGACCTCACGAAGGACGATACGTCCTGAATGGCAGCAATGAGGAATGGGAAGATCTGGCTCCCACCCCCTCTGGTACAGTCATGGCTGAAAAGAACAGTGTGTTCCTGGAGGACAAGCCTATAAGAAACGGGGTCTCCTGGTCCCATGCTAGCACGCTGCCCTTGGGGAGCCCATCGCCAGATGAACTTCTATTTGCTGATGACTCCTCAGAAGGCTCAGAAGTCCTAATGTGAGGAAAACTGGGAGGAGACATTCCAAAATCAAGCAAATTCTTCGCTTTAGGAGACCCCAGCTGTGCTTGATGTTTTCAATATTTTTTTTCCTTACCAAGTAAACTCTATGGCCTTAAAGCACCAGATGAATGTTGCCAATCAAAGTCATCATTAAAAATACATAATATATATTTATTTAAAGACAAAAAATATATATGTATATAGTGGAAAGAGACGAGGATGTTATATTTTAATAAATGGTGACTTCTTTCACTTATCTTGCAGACCTTAAATTTTAAGCTTCATCTGTTCCTTGATACTAACATTTGTACAGAGTCAAAGTTGTTTTTTAAAGTTCTTTTCTTTTTCATGACTATTAAATGTAAAAGTATTTGTAAAATGAAATGCCATAAATGACTTGGGTTCCAGTTTTCATGTATTTGATAAGAATGATTCACTTAGTATTTAAAGTTGTATAACTGATTTTCTGATATGACTTCCTAATAAAATATGAATGAGGAAGAATGTGAAGGATGTGTTGAACTTCCTTGAGATTTGGAAAGACAGTGGTCACCGGCAACCTCTCGGGCCCTTCACCAAGGAAATCCCTCAATGCAATTTCTCTGACCATTCTTGGGATTGCTTTTTAGAGATTCCACTCTAGGAATCTGTAGATGAGGAAGAGAAAAACGTTAAAGGATTGAAAAATTCAATCTGAGTGGAGGGACTTAAACTGTAGAAGAGGATCTGACGGGTGAAGCACTTTTTGTTTGAGAGGCATTAAGTCACAGTAGGTAGGCATGGGCAATCACAGGTCACAGTTACAAGAGCTCGGCACACCTGAGTTCACGTCCTCACTCCGCCACTTCCTAGTAGCTATCATTTGTACAGCACTTGTGATGTTTCAAGCACTTTATGTGAACTGTTCTTTTTAATCTGTATGTCATCATACCATGGATACCAAGGCTATTGTCACATATGAGCCAGGAAACCAAGACTTTGAGAGGTTGAGTAACCTGCTGATATTCCACATCTAGAGAGTGGGAGTGAGTCAGAATTTAGAACCCGGTTCTGGCAGGCTGTAAGCATGAGATGTGAGTGTGTACTCCAGAGCCTCTCAATTTTTTAATTTAATTTTTTTTTTTTTTTTTTTTTTTGAGTAGAGGTCTTACTCTGTCACCCAGGCTGGAGTGCAATGGCACAATCATGACAATCATGGCTCATGACAGCCTCGACCTCCTGAGCTCAAGCAATCCTTCCACCTCAGTCTCCTAAGTAGCTGGGACTACAGGTGCATGCCACCGTGCCTGGCTTGTTTTTTCATTTTTTGTAGAGATGAGGTCTGGCTATGTTGCTCAGGCTGGTGTTGAATTCCTGGACTCAAGGAATCCTTCCACCTTGGCCTCCCAAAGTGCTGGAATTACAGGTATGAGCCACCATGCCTGGCCTTTATTTTATTTATAAATATATAACACTATGTGGCAGGCACAGCATTGTTTAATCCTCTTAACAACCCTAGCAAGTAGGTACTACTGTATCTCCTTGATGGGCAGACAGAGGCAGGAAGAGGCTAATTTACTCTGCTAGTGAGGGCAGCAGACTGATGTATTCTAATGAATGGTGGATCCCTAAGCCCTCTGGCAGCTGGGCAGGGCCAGGGCAGCTGACATCCTCAGGCCTGCTTACTCTCCACTCGTGAGCAAGCCTTACCCAAGTCTCCTGCTCATTAAAAAAAATCAATAAAATAAATTTTATCACCTACTTGTCAAAAGTTTCTTACAGATGGTGACTGAAGAATTTAAAGAACTCATCAGTAAAATCTTGTTTTTTTTTTTGAGTCAGAGTTTTACTCTGTCACCCAGGCTGGAGTGCAGTGTCATGCTCAATCTGCTGTGCCCAGGCAACCCTTCTGCCTCAGCCTTCTAAGTAGCTGGAACCACAGGTATGCACCACTACACCTGGCTAATTTTTTTATTTTTATTGTAGAGACGAGGTCTCACCGAGTTCCCCAGGCTGATTTCAAACCCCTGGGTTCAGGCAATCCTCTCACCTCCGCCTCCTAAAGTGCTGGGATTACAGGTGTGAGCCGCTGCGCCCAGCCCTCATTAAAATCTTGATCAGAAATTGATGGTGGGCTAGTTCAAACCAAAAAAAAAAAGAATCATAGAAATGTATGTTCATACCTGTGAACTAAATAAGCAATTACAAAAATTGGAAAAAATATTATTTGGAAGTTTCATATAAATTAAATATCCAAACCAATATATAGTACTTTGGACAATAAACCCCTACATACAAACCAAGTTGCAAACTTTCAAAGATACAAACGTGCATTCGCATGTCCAGTCACATAAGTTAGTTAAAAATAAAAAAATTAGCCAGGCATAGTGGTGCATGCCTGTGTCTGGTGTACGTTGTCATGTGCATGCATCCTCTACAAGGAGTTGTGATCTGTGTACTTTATAAAGTACAGTAATATAGTGTCTTCATTTCAAGCCCTGGATGTCTGGAAACAAGCGTAAAAACAGCGCGCAGGAGATAGAATTTAATCCAGCAAGGAACCAGAACCTGTGCCACCACCATCAGGCATGAGTGAAATTCCAGCTTATCCAACGTCTTCTGTTGATGACAATCCTTCAACTCTACCATCTCCCACCTCCTCTCCCTCCTCCAGTCAGTAATTCTTGCCTGTTCATTCGATGCCAGTTCCTGTATGCCAACTGTTTGTACTGTACTACTGTACTTTTCAAGGTACTGTAGTGTCAGGTTCAAAATGTATATTTTTTGTGTTTGCCTTATGTATTATTTGTGTGAAAAGTACTATAAACCTATTACAGTACAGTACTCTATAGCCGATTGTGTTAGTTGGGTACCTAGGCTAACTTTGTTGAACCTATAAACAAATTGGACTTATGAACGTGCTCTCAGAACAGAACTCGTTGTATGTAGGTGATTTACTGTATTTTACATTTCCAATATAACTGTAATAATAATGAAGAGTATACCAAATGCCCTGCAGTCTCTAAATCCCATCCAGCATACTTAGTATTTTCTGTGTGGCCTAATCAGGGCTGAGGAACCTGGGCCAGTTCTGCTGCAGAAGGGTATAAGTAGACAGCTGAGTGAGTTGTGGCTTCTGGCTTTTGCTGCAACATCAACACAGCAGAGAAATTCACTTCATCCAGCACACAGCAGGGGACCAGGGCGTTGGTTCAAAGTGGTGTGATAAGAGGGAATGAAGCTAGGCTACTGCTGCACAGTACATTTAAATCTCCTTGCTGAAAACTTGGGAATGCCAATATTCTTCTTAGCCACATTTGAATGTTTGAAAATTTGGAAAAAATGAACTTGCAGGCAATCCAATCACTGACAAACTCATACGGTCTTCTGAACATAAACTTAACCTAGCCTTTCAAATTTTATTTTTGTAAACTCAAATTACTTTTGTAAATGACGCTTCTGGGGACAAAAATAGGAGAGAGGAAAGAGAAAGGAACAAGTTGAGTAACTGTCTTCAGCCATGCTGCGACTAGGGGTGAGGAGGTCAAAAGGGCAAAGAAATAAGCAAATGCCAGAAGTACTTGTGACCAGCAGGTTGAGGCTGGTTCTGCCTTGTGAGGACTTTTTCTTTCCTTCCTTTTCTTTTTTTCAGTTTTCTTGCTTTCCTTAATGAGTAGAAAGAGGAATCAAGGATCAGGGAACCCTTGAAAAAAACCAAAGCACTCTGCCTCGTGAGCCAAGCCATGTGGCCAGACGCAGTTGGGTGGGACAGTCTTGCCAGGTCTCCTTGGGCAATCTTGGGCAGTCACTTGACTTTCCTTGAGCCCCAGGTTCCTCAAGTATACAGTAAAGATGCCAGAGTCAGCCAGGCTCAGTGGCTCAGCCTGTAATCCCGCACCTTTGGGAGGCTAAGGTGAGTGGATTCGAGACCCGCCTGGGCAACTTGGCGAGACCTCGTCTCTACAATAAATCAAAATGAACCGGGTGTGGTAGCGCGCGCCTGTAGTTCCAGCTACTTGGAAGCCTGAGGCGGAAGGATCGCCGGAGCCCAGCAGGTCGAGCAGCGGTGGCCGGGAGTGGCCACTGCACTCCAGTCTGGGCAACAGAGTGAGACTCCAACTCAAAAAAAAAAAAAAAAAGATGCCAGAGCCTTGTTCTGCAACACCCTGCATAAGAAGGGGGAGGGGGCAAGTTCTCTGAAAAGAACTTCATGCTTGCTAGAGGCTTGTTCCCAATTTGAGGCATCATTCTTTAGTTGGTGCAAACCCACCAACATTTGTCATATTAAAAATATTTTCCCTGGTGATTTTCATCAGCTCCCTTCACAATAACACAAATGCACTCAAAAATAAAATTTAAAGAGAGTATTTCTCCTTAGCAGTGACACACACAGTTGGGGAAGTTCAGAGTGAACTCATCCAACACCTCAACTCCTTTCTGTCAAGCTCATCCTGGGTTTTTAGTTACTGATGATGTGGGTCTTGATGCTCCTCTCCTCTATACCTGGGTAATGGCAAGGAGTAGTGGCTTTATCAAGGGAGGGTGGGGACACGCAGCAGGTCAGAGCACCATTCCAGGAAGGGGAGATTCCCTCTCTGCCAGACCAAGCAGAGGTTCCCCTCTTGAAAATGGGCCAAACCACAGTCTTTTATCTCACAGATCTGATTCTGGCCAGACAGTCCTGATGCATGAAAGTCAAGACCTTTGTGACTTCTCCTGGTCAATGGCAAAAATAAATTGGAACTTCTGCTGAATCAATGGGAAAGTAACTTACCCAATAATAAACCAACCACAACAGCAACTTAACTTCTCTGAAGATGTTTCGTTACTTTGGGTGACAAATGGGAAAATGGGAAGTTTTGTTTTCTTTAATGAAAGTTTCAGTAATGCACAGTGATCCTATATTTTGATTTTCTTTTCTTTTCTTTTCTTTTTTTTTTTTGAGTCAGGGTTTCACTCTGTCACTCAGGCTGGAGTGCAGTGGCACAATCATGGCTCACTGTAGCCTTGAATTCCTGACCTCAAGAGATCCTTCTGCCTTAGTCTCCTGAGTAACTGGGACTCACCACACCCAGCTATTTTTTATTTATTTTTATTTTTTGTAGAGACGAGGGTTTCCTATGTTGCCCAGACTGATCTCACACTCCAGGACTCCAGCAATCCTCCTGCCTTGGTTCCCCCACAGTGCTGGGATTATTGACGTGAGCCACCATGCCCGGCCTATTTTCTCTTTTTTAAAGCTCTAAGAACAGCAGCAAAACTACCATTCAATTAACTTTAAAAAAGTATGTTTACATACTTAATTTGGTGGTATTTATTAATTTTTGAGTTGGAGTCTTACTCTGTCACCCAGACTGGAGTGCAGTGGCCGCTCCTGGCCACCGCAACCTTGACCTGCTGGGGTCCAGCAACCCTTCTGCCTCAGCCTTCCAAGTAGCTGGAACTACAGACATGCTCTACCACACCCAGCTAATTTTTAAATTTTATTGTAGAGATGAG